TCCTAGAGTAAACTGCTTGAAAACCATACCCTTCACAGCGGCACATACCTATATAGCCCATATATGGCAGTGCACCCCCCACCCCCACCCCACCCCCCTCCGCCGTGATTTTCCCATCAAGACTGGCATCTAGATCGGTAATGTTTTGCGGTGAAAAAGTTGCAAACTAAAATGCAAAAAGTATTAACTATTCTCTTTTAAAAAATGTTTATTTATTGAAGTGCTCAAAAGCCTGATGAGAAAAAAGGTAACGAGGACGAGCAGACTTTGGCAGAATTAAGTTCAGCTTATCGCCGCTCGCAAGGAAAATGTCAGTTACTTACAAATTAGTTACATTAAACAAATTAAATTTTTCTTGTTTGCCATACAATAAACATCATTCTTATTAACCGAGCTTAGTCGGTCTGTATGGGAGAATCTTTACCTCGGTCGTGTGTACAGACCTCACTGCGTTCGGTCTCCACTCACAGACCGCCTAAGCTCGGTTAGCTTATTTCATTTTCTTTAAATCGAAAATCATGGTTAAATGTAAATTGACGCTTTCTGTTGAGCAATTCCTTTCGTGTGATATAAGTATCAAATTTGCATATTATTGTATCAGCACATTTCTGCTGGATTCAGTGAAGCGAAGCAGTCATTTCCCGTTTGGAACATCTGAGATTAACTGATGTACGTTCGAGAAAAGGAAACTGTCACTCTATTCAGGTCACAGAATGGCCGTTAAGAAACTTCTGCTACTGTTAATCGCTGGTACTTTCATTCAGGCAGGTTAGTTATTTTGGCCTTGCAGCGAATGCTGTGGTTTATGTTTAAACAGTGGAGAGTATGTTGCTCTGTTAAGTGTTAAATGTTCACGTAGCAACCCTTATGTGAGATTTAAGCGTCTGTTCGATCAAAATTTCCCAGGGATTAGATTTCCAATTAATTTGTGTTGTGAGATCGGTTCATATTCTTCGTAGTTCATGAGTTTTTACGGGTTTTTTTTTTACACAACTTCCGTGTAGAATGTGGGAAACAACAAGCAATAGACAGCAGATCAACATGCAGGAATGTGAGGGCCACGCTTCTGTTCATTCGCCGGTTTGCAGTTTTGGTTGAAGACTTCGAGATTCCAATGAAGAGAAGCGCGGTGAATTTTTTTATACACTGATTTTAAACGAAGATGATAGATACTTTCCAAAAGAACTCCCACCAGGACTGTCTTTATATTTAATGAGCCGTAACGATTTCGCAGTTGGAACAGTTCACTGCTTTCTACAGCAAAACAAATCTTTCAGTTTTGATCCTCAGCACACCCTGAAACCAATTATTGGAGTTCAAAATTGGTTTAAGCGATACGCACAGTTGAATATTTTAATCATACTTCACATGCTTCTTAGACTTCTCAAAAGGAATACGAAATTCCAGCTGAACAGATCATTGGTTATTTAATGAGGACTATCAAGTTGCTTGTAAATTCATTCCTCTGTGGTCAGGGTTGTTCAGCCTTTTAGCCGTTCAGTCTTTTAGCCGTTCAGTCTTTTAGCCGTCCAGTTTTTTAGCCGTTCAGTCTATTAACGCTCAGTATTTGCTGGTACGTAAAACTAAGACGCTATTGTTTAAGAACCCTCAAGGTACAAGTAGCAATCTGTTAGGTTAAATTGTCTTGTATGCCTAAAGCTATGAATCTGTCATAACTGGTCTTTTGCATGTGATCGAGCCAGGGGTAGAAGACAGATTTAATTTTACGAGATGGTTTACGTCATGACGTGGCTTTTCATTTAACACATTCATTACCTTTACATTGTTCTATCAATACAACGATTCCAGAAAAAAACCGGAAGTTGCACCGAAACGAGTCTTAATAGCCCTCGCGGTAAATATTCAAAGCAACATGGCGAACGAAGAAGAGAGGTCAATCTCTCTTCTGATGATATTCCCGGCGTCAGTGTGAGCGAAGAACAGATTGAAAAATTAACGCTTAGCCAATTGAAATTCTGGCTAAAAAGTTGCCGTATAAATTAAAATGGCAAAATAAAGGAACTTTTGGAAAGATATGTTTGCCATCCTTCAATTGTCTCGATCTCTAATATGCGAAAAAACATGTTCTCACCATTTTTATTGCCTAAAAGAACTTTATTCATGGTCGGTTTAGGAGAAAGAATCTGAATGAGATAAAAATTTTAAAAATCTACGACTCTGACCCGAACAATAGCTTTACTAAAGCTGAAGTAGCTTAAAATAGTAAAACTGATGAAGCAAGAGCTCGAAAGAACATACGGAAGTAAATTTAAAAATTGTTCCGGATATCGNAAATTCCAGCTGAACAGATCATTGGTTATTTAATGAGGACTATCAAGTTGCTTGTAAATTCATTCCTCTGTGGTCAGGGTTGTTCAGCCTTTTAGCCGTTCAGTCTTTTAGCCGTTCAGTTTTTAGCCGTTTAGTCTATTAGCGCTCAATATTTGCTGGTACGTAAAACTAAGACGCTATTGTTTAAGAACCCTCAAGGTACAAATAGCAATCTGTTAGGTCAAATTGTCTTGTATGCTAAAGCTATGAATCTGTCATAACTCAGCACTTTTCTGCTGGACTCAGTGAAGCGAAGTAGTTATTTCCCGTTTGGAACATCTGAGATTAACTGATGTACGTTAGAGGAAAGGAAACTGTCACTTTATTCAGGTCATAGAATGGCCGTTAAGAAACTATTGCTACTATTACTCACTGGTACTTTCATTCAGGCAAGTTCGTTAATTTGGCCTTGCAGCGAATGCTGTGGTTTATATTTAAACAGTGGAGAGTATGTTGCTCTGTTAAGTGTTAAATGTTCACGTAGCAACCCTTATGAGAGACTTAGGCGTCTCTTCGATCGAAATTTCCTAGGGATTAGATTTCCAATTAACTTGTGTTGTGAGATCGGTTCATATTCTTCGTAGTTCATGAGTTTTTACAGTTTCTTTTTTTTTACACAACTTCCGTGTAGAATGTGGGAAACAACAAGCAATAGACAGCAGATCAACATGCAGG